TCAAGGAAGTTGCCGGAAAAAGCCGGCGGGGGGGGGAGAAGCGAGATAACCTTCTGGTGGGGCTACGTTGGGGTTTGGGGCGGATTTAGCAGTTCCATCAGCAAGGGGGCAGGACGGTATCGGCGTCCCGGCCATCGCCCTGCGTTTTGCCTTCATGCCGCGTTTCGCTATACTGTGTTTTTGGCGCCTTGAGAAGTCTACGTCAGCCCGGCGGACGAGGTAACGCGCCTGCCGGCGTGTCTCCTTGGGCCTTCGGCGCCTCGACCTCATCTTCATTCCCGCCAAAACCCAAAACAAAACAAAACAAAACAAAAAAAACAAACAAAAAAAAGAATAATATGAGACTATTCCGAGTTTGACGGCACAGTTGTGAAGCAGCTAGGAGGAGAGAAAGCTGACGCTCGTTTTGCTTCAAGCGTATTTCAGACGCCCCCGAATCATGTATCGCTCAGGCACGCTGGTTAGCGCCTGGCTCTGCCGCGGCTCCCGCTAACGCCGAGGTGGCTGGGTGGTGGTGTTACTGCAGGGTATTTGGCCGTTGAAAGTACCTGTAGTATGAGAGCATCGTTTGGGCCTGAAGTGGGCTGGATCGGTTGATTCCGCTGATCGTTTCGCTGCAGAAATCATTTCTGCTTTCCAAAACAGTCCCTGAAATGGCGTTATCTGTCCTCGCCGGGAGTTTATTCAGCTACGGTGATTTCTCCGCCTCTCCAGAGAGCTCATTTCGAGGTAATTCGGTAATTATTGCTCTCTGTGACAGTGGCAAGATCTCGTTTTTGTTGTTAATGGGCAGCTGTGTCCCTGACTTAAAGCCGGCAGAGAGTGAATTCAGACGCGTTGAGATTTCTAAGAATTATGGCCACTTGCACCACGTGATAAACGCTGTGGAAATAAACATTCAACCCTCTCTGCAAAACACAGCAAAACCTCCAACCCCAAAGCAGATAGCGTTGTCACTTCAACCTCAAAACTACAGCCTTATCTCTTTGTTGATCAAAAAGTCCTTATCTCCAGCATTACTTTTGACTTTGCTACTATGCAATTAATTCCCCATGCTTAAAATTAAAAAAAAAAAAAAAAAGAGGTACCAGTGAGCAAAGCTACTACTTAAAAAAGTGGTAGTTTATTTTAAGTTCTGGCCTGTTCTCGGCTCTTCCCATCCTACTTAAGCTGGTGTCTGCTAAGGGGATCTTTGTAGGCAGTGTGTTTCCAGATGAATCTATTTTAATAATAATAGTGAAAACTTCTTAAATGTAAGAAGAATTTTTCTTCGCTTTATTCAGGGAGGATCATCCAAGCAGGCTTTTGTTCCTTGCTCTAGAAATGCCTGCATTTTTAAAGGAAGAGATTGATATGATACACATTTCTCTAACTTTGTGCAAGAAAGAAAATCAGCAGGATACTTGAATACCAATTTCATAGTGACAGAATCACATTGAGCAAGGACTGGTGTTAAAGAAAGGAATCAAATAGTTAATTGCATTAAAATGTACTGCAAAAATCACTGTGGTTTGAAATTCAGCACCTAACAGCACAGAGCAGTATCACAGCATGATAGTCACTGGGAAAAACTCAAGAGATCAGAGTCTGCAAAGGCAGAAAACATGATAATCATCAGAGATTTCAGTTACTCCTGGGAAGACTGGGAAAATGCACAACAGGAAGGGCAAAGGCTAAATTATTAGACCCGTAAATAGCTACCTATTAAAGCAATTAGTCAGATAATTCGCGAGTGGGGAAGCAGCTCTTGATTAAGTCCTGGAAAGTGCATTAGGCGTGGTTCAAAATGTGTCTGTCATCATCTGTGGCAATAACCACCATAGACTGCTATAAGACACTTAAAAGAGCAAAGAGGCCAACAACATCCATTGCATTAATTTTGGCAGAATTCTGGCTGACGGCATGGAGACCGTTCGAAGGCGTGATCTCAAGTCTGCGTTGGCGAAACCATCCAAAAGAAGGGCCCTTGCACAAACTGAGCCCCTGCAGACAGCACATTTGATGTCGCGCGCCATCGTGCCGTGCCTACATCTTGCACGAAAGGCTGCGTCTCTCTGCTGAGGATTGCTGCTGGGCCACACGCGTCCTCCGGAGAAAGTATGAACCAGCTGCGAGCAGGTGGAGAAGTCGCACCACGCTGCAAAGTCTGAAGTCCCTGGACAGTCTGGGAATGGAGGACACCCTTGCCAGGGTCATCCCCAGTCCTTCATATTGGGGAGGTGGATGATAGCTTGGACAGACGCCTCTTTTTCAGCTTTATCTGCAAAGGCAGAGAGGGTGAAGGACATCCTGATGTATGCCAGTGGGGACACTGTGCTGCAGCTCCCGGCCACTTTTCTGAGACATCTGCACCCTGAGGTCAAACCCTGCAACTTTCTATAAGCTGTTTAGGCTAAATTAACTCCATGGCAGAGTATTTCCTTGGCAGACTATGTGCCAGGAGGGTGGCGTGGAGAAGAGCTCCAGATGGGCTCTCCCTCTAGTTGTAAGTGTCCCAAAGCCCAGAGAATGGCAAGCCCATGAGGTCCTTTCTGATGAAGAGGGGATCCATACCCCACAGCCTGTGGAAAGGTCTCTGGGGGTGAAGGCTGGGAAGAGTATCAAGGATTCAGGGCTGCTCCCGGTGGTGCCTGAGGAGCAGATGTGACCTGGTTTGTGCCATCCCCACTGTTGTGAAATTATTTGAAGTGCCTGCTACAGGGGAACCATCGCTGGGTCATCTTGGGCAACTTTCACCGTGCATGAACGGGCTACGCAAGCCAGACATACACAGCTGAAAGAGTACAATGCACATCTTTGCTGATTGACACACACAATAGATGGACAGGATTTAATGAGGTAGTGGGCCAAGCATTAGCGTGTTCGTGGCTTCAGTGAGATACCTGAAGAGCCTTTGCTGGCGAGTCAGAGCCAGCTGGGGCAGCATCAGCCCTCTGCTGCCTCCAACAGACCCTCGACAGGGCTGAGTTGCCCCCTTCCAGCTACCTGTTTTTTCCTTCAGGATTTTAAACCTTTCCATGTTCATGTTTTTTCTCTTGAATCCCGCTAATGATCTCCACCTCAGCAGTCCCACCTGCCCTTCTTATCTCGCCTGGTTCCACTCTACGCCTTTTCACACAGCTCTTTCTCACAATATGGCAATTTTCTCAGCAGTCTGAAACGAGGTCATGCGGTTGGGCCATACCAGAGCTGGGTCCAGGATGCTGAACTCCTGGCAGAGGAAAGAAAAGGGTATGGAAGGGTTATGGACAGCAGATTGCAGCAGATTGCAGACAGGACCAAAAGGCTACGAACAAATTCTGTGTTTTCCCCGTTGTGGGCAGTGAGTGGCAGAGTGCCAGGGGCCTGGGTTAGGCCCCCGCAGCATAATGATAAGCAACCTGGAAAAGGTCTCAGCAAAGGTGGTTATATTTGCCGTGGATTCAAAATTATTCGGAGTAATCAGCCAAAAGCTGAATGCAAGAAGTTGCAGAAGGATGGCATAATGCTGGCTGGGTGATGAGATGGCAGATGGGACCCAATGTTAATGAATGCAAAGCAGTGCACGCAAGAGAAAATAACACTAGCAATACACACACAGCAGCAGGCTCTCAATCAGCTGTTACCATTAAGGGAAGAGATGCTGGATTCACTGTGGATGGTTTTCTAGAAAGGCCAACTCAGTGCTCTGAAGGAGGCAAGAAAGCAAACAGGCTGCTAAGAAGTATTAAAAGAAGAGAGAGAGAGAGAGAGAGAGAGAGAAACAGAAAACATACTTGATATAAATCCACAATGCACATGCAAAGGTGCCTCCTGGGTACCTCATCACTTCCAAGTAGATGCAATGCAATGCAAAAATGTACAATGAAGGACGACAGAGATGTCATTCTAAACTGAAGGAATTAAGATGTATCAGCTGAAAAGAGACAGCTGAAAGGTACTATGGGAGCATCCAACATCACAAGTGGTACAGAAACGGTAAAAAGGGAGTTCTCATTTTTCTCCCTAGACGTGATCTCCAAGAAGGTACAAAACAAACAGAGGTGTAAACTGTGGATCTCGGTGCCAGGGGGCACTCTGGAGGATAAAGGGATCCAAAAAAAGATAGGAGACGGTCCTAAGGAACAGGGCCATTCGGGCTGGTAAACACAGTGGTCAAAGTACAGTCTGTGTCTCAAAAATCCCACTAACCCACTGATTGCTGGAAGCAGGGCAGAGTTACTAGAGAAAAAAAAAAAAGCAGTCCATAAATTCCATGTTTCTTACAAATTCCCTTAAGCTTAAGCCATTTTTACCAGACTTAGATTATTTGCACTGTATTTTACAGATAGACCTTCTGAGGATGAGGCTTGCATGCTTAAAGCCGGGTTGCTAATATGCCAAAATGGCATTAGAGGGCAGTGCATCTCAGTCTACGGGGAGACCTTTGAGGTGGCAAGGGATGGCTGCAGTAAACCCCCCAAAACCATCCACAAGGCCCCCGGGGAACAGAAGAGCAGAGTGGTTCCCACCCACAGAGGTGGGGGCGAGATGCGAATCGCAGCGGGGCACACGCGAAAGAAAGCTGAGCTTGGTCAGAGGAACGTCAGTCAGGTTAGAATAAAGATGCTTAAATCACGTGGGATGGAGGGATGATTTCCAGCTAACGGTGCGGGTCCTAAGCAGAGAGCAGACCCACCCCACTGCACACCTGCTTTTTGTTAATGGTCCTGGCAGCACCTTCAAAACTTTATGAACTTTTTTTCTTTTTCAGAAAATACCCACTTGATTATCACTGCCAGCTTCACAGTGACCTTCAGTATGGCCCGCGTGGCAAAATGAAATATGAAAATGACGCTGCCAGAGGGAAAGCTCATTCATTCATCCTGGCTTGGGAAGATCGGCTCGAGTTTGTTGGATCCTAAACCAACATGTTGGATCCTAAACCAAACACAATGTGTGATGCCATGGTTTTGCTGAAAGGTACCACCCTAACCCAGTATGCCTTCAGATCTGCTTCATGATCTCTAAAATACTCTGATAACTCTAAAATAAATCAGAAAGGAACTGTGCTGTAATTCTTCTTTTGTAAAACTCACCAATGAATAACCATCATAAAGAGCTGAAAACAGTTAGAAAGGCATTTGGAATATCCTTACTTCTGCAGAGAGAACAGCTGCAAACGCAATGAAGAAAGCCGTCTATTTTTGCCATATATAGAGTGACCCAAAAACCCAGAGGAGCGTGGCTTTTTTACCTAGTTTTTACCTACTTCACATTTTTTACCTAGTTTCACATTTTGGCTCAGTTCCACAATGAGAATGACTGAGACAACATCCAGTAATATTTTGGCACAGATTAAAGTTTCCGAGACCCATATTTAAATACTTTTTAGTCACAAGTAATGAAAGCTTTATTGCTACTGACACTGCACAGTGGAGTATTTTGATTTGGGCAATGACAGGGAAAAATAATATAAATGAGGAAGTGACCATTTTGTTCTACCATCAGTGTCTCAAGCTTGTTTGAAGAACTGAGAAAACATGTTGAAAATCTAAGAGAAAATGTGACGCTTGACTAGACTCAGTACAGATGGGACGTCTGCCGTAACTGCAGGAAAAAAATGGTTCTGCTGCTCAGCCAGAGAAAGGTTTTGTGTAGAAAGTTATTCAGATTCCCCCTGTGTTAGCCATAAAGAGAATTTTGTGCCAAAGATGCAGGTTTCTTACAAGCTTCAAATCCCACTGTCTGGTGCACTGATCAAATTGGAGGG